TATATATATGCCATGCCCCCCTTCAGATTAAAATTCATATAATCCCTAATTATTGTCTATAGTTCCGAAGGTTTGTGGGAGCTATAGTACAAGTTTTTTTATTACTGTTCTGTTAGTGCACTGGATGCAATATGCTGTACATCATCCTTCCTTCTGATCCTTGATTCCTGCCAGCAGTAAAAAGAAGTATGGTGTGGTATAACAATACAAAACTCCATGCTGCACTACACAGATATACAACTGAGTCGTTGTCTGTCTGTTACCTGGATTCTCCAGCCATGTTGATCCTGAAACTGGTAATAGTTAATATATTCTTCTGGTCTCTGTCCTGATTCTTTTCTTTACTTACTTTGATAGCAGTCTCTGGTTCCTCCCTTCTATTAGATTATGGCTTTATTTTCACAAAGATTTTGCACGGATATACATGTAGTTGCCTAGATCTCATGTACCTTTTTCTGTGGATGCTGGTTTTCAACTTGGGTCATACTAAATTTGCTTCTTTGAATGGCTTGAAAGTCCTGCCATCCTTTTCCTTTCTTCCGTTAGTAACAGTAGGAATATCATATGATGTAAAGTAAGATAGGATAAGCTTCCAGCTAAAAACTGTGGCAGATGACTAGGAAGAACTTGGTTGGGTGGTGAATTAATGTTGAAACGTAGCAGCTCGGATGCTAGGGCATCCTTCTCAGGCAAAGTCCTTGAATACCCACGGGAGAGGGGGAGAAAGCAGACACGCAGGTGTTTCTTTTGTGACTCAACTCTGACTGGAAAATCTTGTCATTTAGTTTCCTGAATAGCTGCTTAAAAAGTACCCAGTGCTGCAGGGGAGGGTGTTCAAGATTATATTAAAATGGAGAGTTTCTTTTCTAAGGTTGATTGCTTTGTTTAAGAATTCTTCTGAGTCACACAGTTCCAAAGAAGTTGCCCAGCATTCTGCCAACCTGGCAATTGCCTAGCAGGGAAGGACCTTCCATGGGTGGGGTGGGGTGGGGTGGGGTGGATGGGAATGACACAGGGAATCATGATGGTTTTGCATTGCCAAACAGATGGCCGGTAACTGGCCTGGACATAAGTGAAATGGGCCCCGTTTAGTAAAACCAGACATGCAGAAAAGTATTTTTAATGAATTAAAAATTAAACGAGAAAGAAACCTGACAGAAACTGCCTAAACTAAGAAAAAGGCCGTGTACACATGCAGAAGTCAAGGTCTCTGGCTGCTAAAGCTGATCAGCACAGTTTGGTGCTGATCCTGAAAGCTTTTAGTAAGATTGTGATATATACAAGTGAACGGATATGGAGAAAGGAGTGGGTGTCTCTGGTCCTTCCCCAACCATTTTTTGCTCTTTGGTATTAAAATAATCATGGGGTTATAGTTTCCTTTAACAGTGTAAGCTGGGATGGGATTTAAACCAGCCACTGCTATAAAGGAAGTTTTAATGCAGTTTGCCTGGAATCTGAGTGAGGTTGCATTAACAGTTGGCAGTGGTCCTGCTTGAAGTTCATCGGCAAATCCCATACAATGTAATACTGCTGCTTTGGGTTCGTTAGAATTGGCAACAGTAGCATAGCTTAGTTTGGCTGAAGAATATGCCTTAAAACTGAAAATGCTGCACGGTGGAAGAACGGATGGTGAAGTTGAGGGAGTTAACTGGCAGCTTTGATTCGAGATAAGACACTGTGTGATTTTAATACTACTTGGAAACCTTTTTTGGACTTTTTGTGAGATACGGAAAAAAATGAAATTTTGTTGTATATCTCTCATTTCTAATCTTTCTTTCTTTCTTTCTTTCTTTCTTTCTTTCTTTCTTTCTTCTTAATATTAGTTTTTGTTAATTTTTTATTCTTTCTTTTTAAACATTTTTTAAATAAAGTTATTGTATAAAAAACTGAAAATGCTGCATGGTAAATAGTGTTGCAAAAGTCGGCTAGAGCTAGAATAGGAGTTGTCTAGAATTGCAGGACTGTATTGGGGAGCTGCTGAAGATCTCCACTTACTGGACTTTGATACAGAAGTAGTACTTATTTGCATTCCAAAATGAAAATCAAGATACAAATAATTAGTGCAGAGTTTTGATTTGAGTACCATTAATGTAAAGGAGCATTTAGAGAAAAACAGGGTAACAACATTAGTTTAAAGCCTACAGCTTACTGTCAATGATATATGAAGGATATAAGTAATTCATTAAAATGGTAGCATACCTGATTTTAAGCTGATGCTATCCTCTGCTTTTGCTTTGTTTTATATAATGATGTTTTATTGGATGTTATGGCATATTCTAATTATGTTGTCTCATATCCCAAGGTGAAAGGCAGAATAAAAATGCTATTAACAATTAATGTTGTAAGTTCATTCTCATAACCTTTGGAGCCTGTGACTGCCAGCTTTGATTAGTCAAGCCATGCTCTGCTTCATCCTTAATGTGACTGAATGAACTTGGTCTATCAAGCCTGTCCGGAAGGTTGCTGACCTAGACTAGTGTTTTGTTTGCTGCTGCAAACACTTTGGAAAAACTCTTGTCAAAAGTTGATCTACAGTTAATGTAGATCAGCAGAAGGATTTGTTTGTCACATGTCAACTTGGCCCTTTCCAGTGCAGATAGATCTACTAATAACAGCAGCTGCAGTGGTTTCAGTCATTTGATTAAACTCTAATACTTGTTGCCTAATGGGCCATAGAGGAATGGGAGGTCTTGCAGTTTTATTTCTGGTGCTACCACTTAAAAAACAACTGTGAAGTAGGTTTATTCCTACATATTTTGTATTTGCTCCTCAGGGCTCTATATTCATATGCAAGATCGCTCAAAGTCTAAATAAAGAGAAGTTTGAGAATCCTTTTACTAGGTTCTTCTCCAAGAGCATTTGTGAATAATCAGTATCAGTTTTGTGCAAAGAGGCCAGGATTGAAATTAATTATTGAAGAGTCCCGTTGAGGAAAAACTTAAAACATATTGAGTTCTGTTTCAAAAAAGCTTCTTATACATGTGGAGGTTTGCTTCCTTTTTAAAACTGGTATCTCTCTCTTTATTTTTTCTTTGAGTAGAGATTTCAGCTTTGGGAATATCTGATCCAAATCTAACCTCTGTTCCACATAATTCATTATCTCCCATTAGGTTTGTGAACTGAACATTGTGATTATGTGTGCCTTAGTCTTAAATTCTTTTCTTCCCTTTTCAATCATATTTTTCAGAGCTAAAAGCAGAGGCTAAAGTTATAGAGCAAATGAGTAGCTCTGATAGTTCATCGGAATCAAAGAGTTCATCCTCTTCATCAAGTAGTGAAAATAGTTCTAGTGATTCAGAAGAAGAAGCAGCAAAGCTATCTCTTCCCTTGTCGATGCCACGCCTACAGCCACAGCTTCCTATGATGACAGTGTCACAACAGGCCTTCCCAGATGTGGATGTTGGATATCACAGAAGTCAAGAGAGCAGTGGCCGTTTGATGAATACATTGAGTAAGTGATGAAACAAAGCATGCTGTGATAGACTTAGGCATGAGAAAACCACATGCTATTAATTACAACTTTCCAGGCATAGTTTTAAGTTACATGGCAGCAATTTGGATTAGAAGCTGGGATAAAAGTTATATTGACCTCTCATTATGTTTAATTAAAGCTTATGCTATAATACAGCACAGATGATATCATCTACTTCTGATTTCAGGACATGGGGTTTTAAAACAATTTGTTCTAGAAGCATTCATAAATTTCAGAAATGATTTCTGCAATATAGTTATTTCACTGCAATAAAGTGTTTATTTTATCTCCAGGGCTGCTTTGCTAAGAATTGATTTGTGTACAGGATATGACATTTTTGCCTTTTCCCTATAGCATATAAGTTACTCCTGTTTGGTGGTCAGTCCCAGCCTTTATCCTAACCTTAGAGGTAGAGAAGGAAGTATGAATTATAGAATTGTAGGGCAATTACTGTTTTTATATACAGTTCCCAAAATGGAACATTTTTGTTAAAATGCAAAGCATGTTGGCATGTCATATATAAGTGGTACACTCCCACTATATTTTCCTGATCAAAAAGTAGAGCTAGAGAGGGAAGCAAAGGATTTTTCCTGCTTGATACTGGGATGTAATATGAAATCAGGAACATTGGCAGGATAAATTGTAGCTTGGCTGTCAAAACCAGCCAAAAATGATGGAACCTGATCATTTGTATAGCCTTTGCTAATAATCTGTATGTGTCTATGTAGCCCATATTTTATTCAGCTATACTATTATCAGACTTCATTATTAACCCCAGCCTTCTATAGAAAACTTTTTCTGGTTCTGTAAATATACATCTTGGATTACAACCAATTGATACTAATAAGAGTTAT